AGAGGGTATCCCTCCTTGATTGAGTGGTGATCATGTAATAGTGTGTGAGCACCCCTCAGTCCTGGATTACTGTGAACCCACGCTAGACAATGACATTCTCTCAAGGAATGGAAGGTATCCCAAAGACAGGCAGGACTCATAGGAAATAGGCAGAATAATGCGAGTTTAGTTCTGCCCAATGAGAACCAGCAGCACTGCACAAAGAAGGATGTATATTGCATAGAACATCGCTGGAGTGTGGGCAGGGCAAGTACAGGTTGGGCACTTTTTTAATACAGGATGAGGTTTTAAAAAACTGAAACTGGGGTTCCACTTTAGCACAACATGACCTAGGCATCTCTTGTTATAAAGGGGTTAATCTTATATTTCTGAGATTTACCTTTTTTTTTTTTTTAAATAAATACTCTAGAATAAAGCTAGATAAACTCTCATGTGTAAAATAACTAATAAAGTTCCTAAAATTATCAGCAATTAAACCTTGACTCCATGCTGACCAAAAAAACTAAATTTGGGTGCTGCCCCTTCATATTTATAGGATATTATGTGTTTTAAGACTGGGGGACTCTAATGCATATAAGTGTTATATTACTACATTTGTTTCCTCAAGTCCATATAGTTCAATATGTACAATGGTCAGGATTTTTGTTGGTGGGCTTGGTTATATTATATATATATTTTGCCCCTTTTGTTCGACAGAAGGATGCATTTAGCTGAATTTCCCATTCATCCAGATGGCACTAAGAAACAAGCATACATCGTACTAGCCATTTACAGTAGAACTGAAGACAATCCTTTTTTTTTAGGGATGCACCGATACCAGTTTTTCGGTTTTGAGTACGAGTACCTATGTTTCTATTTTGATACTCGCCGATACCAAATACAGATACCGGAAGTTCCAATAAGGAAGCCGGCGGTGTGTAATGACTCGCCGCTCAGCTTCCCAATTGGCTTTCTGGCCAATCAAGAAGTCAGGGGGCAGTTAATGACTTGCCACCTGGCTTCCTGTTTGGCCAGCTTCCCGAACAATCAGGAAGCCGGCCGGCGAGTCACCAAGTGATGAGGCAGCATGGAGCCAGCTTCCTGACCAATCAGGAACCTGGGGTTGAGTCTTTACCCACCTCCTGGCTTGCTGATTGGCCGCGAAGCCAGCTTCATGTTCCCTCATCACTGGGTTCCAGCCAGCTTCCAAGCCCAATCAGAAAGTCGGGCAGCATGTAATGACTCACTGCCTGGCTTCCTGATACCGGAAGTAACAGTATCGGGATGGGAATCAGCGGTGGTGTATTCTGGTTTGGGGCTGCCCTAGGCAAGGCAAAACTCGGGCTCCCCCCCTACAGCTCTACAGCCTGCAAAGCCCACTACAGATCGTGCACAGCCCCCGTGAGATCCGGCAGACTGCAGGGTCTCAGGGGGGCTGTGCAGGATCTGTAATGGGCTCTGCCCACCATAGACCCTGCAGAGCCCACCACAGATCCTGCAAAGCCCCCTGAGACCTGGCAAAGCCCCCCATAGATGCTGCAGAGACCCCCTGAGACCCTGCAGTTTGCCGGATCTCACGGGGGCTGTGCATGATCTGTAGTGGGCTTTGCAGGCTGTAGAGCCCCCTACGGACCCTGCAAAGCCCCCCACAGATCCTACACAGCCCCCCTGAGACCCTGCAGGATCTCAGGGGGGCTGTGCAGGATCTGTGGTGGGCTTAGCAGGCTGCAGAACCCCCTATTAATCCTGCAAAGCCCACCAAAGATCCTGCAAAGCCCTCCTGAGACCCGGCAATGCCCCTCACAGATCCTGCAGAGAACCCCTGAGACCCTACAGTCTGCCAGATCTTAGGGGGGCAGTGCAGGATCTGTGGTGGGCTTTGCAGGCTGCAGAGCCCCCTACGGATCCTGCAAAGCCACCCACAGATCCTGCAGAGATCCCCTGAGACCCTACAGTCTGCCAGATCTTAGGGGGGCTGTGCACAATCTGTGGTGTGCTTTGCAGGCTGCAGAGCCCCCCTACGTATTCTGCAAAGCCAACCACAGATCCTGAAAAGCCCCCTTGAGACCCGGCGAAGCCCCCCACAGATTCTGTAGATACCCTGCAGTCTCAGGGGGGCTGTGCAGGATCTGTGGTGGGCTTTGCAGGCTGCGGAGCTCCCTACGGATCTTGCAAAGCCCCCCACGGATCCTGCAAAGCCCCCAACAGATCCTGCAAAGCCCCCAACAGATCCTGCAGAGACCCTGCAGTCTCCAGGATCTCAGTCAGACCTTCGCTGCCCGGCTGGAGCCTCGGCGATGCCTCCCGCCTCCTCCATCGCATCTCTGCCCCGCCTCCTCCATTGCAGTCTTCGGCCCCCTGCCTCCTCCGTCGTCACCCAGCCTCTTTCATCTCCGCCCCATCTCCTCTGTCACCGCCCCTGCCTGCAGCCGCTACGTCCTCGTCTCCTCCTGTTTCCCCGCCCGCCGCTTCTTCCCCGTTCTAATTAGGCAGCCAGGCTGCCGGTTTCTGTGCAGCCCGTCTGCCTAAATGTTTTGGGGGGCGGCATTTTTGCTGCCCCCCTGGAATCTGCCGCCCGAGGCAAACACCTTGTTTGCCTCAAGGCAGATATGCCCCTGGGCATCAGGAGCATTTTGTCGAGTACGAGTACTTGCCCAAATAATTGGTATCGGCACTGATACCGATACAAGTATCGGTATATAAAAAGAGAACTATACCTTTAATTCATAATCCACAAAATAAGACACACACCTTTATAAACATTAAAAACTACCTCTGACAAGGTACTTATTAAATATAACGACATGATCTTTGAATATAATGTACATGATTTAAACTTCAAAGAATGTTATAGGGTAACTAAGCAGCAGATGCTGCTTTATAAGCTAAAATCAATCTTTAATTTTCCTACAGGTTTAGGAAGAGTTATGACTAAAGTTACAAAAACACCTGTGTTTTGACACTTTAGCAGTCAAATTTGAGAAAACCCCTCTAAATGTTGATTACATAGTAGTTAGTCAAGTTGAAGAAAGACACTAGTCCATCGAGTTCAACCCATAGTGAGGTTATGTGTTCCTATTCAAACAGCACGCTGAAAAATAACTTTTAAAAGCAATTCTTACCTTTTAGATGTTCTGTTACAGCAGGCAAGGTGGCTGCTGATGATGAGCTTCATTACCATACAATGGGCAAGCCACCAAAGACCCCTCACATCTCTTCCTAGCATTTCAAAGAAGGAGAAGCAAGAAGAAAATGTAACCCTTAAAACCCTAACTCAAGTTAAAGCAATTTAAACTGCAAGTATTTTAGCCTATGCTGCGTAACTGGAAACAATAATAACAAATATAAAATGGGTGTTATCCCAAATTGGCTGTAAAAGTGGAAATACACTTTACGTTTGAAGACATAACTGTAAACATATAGATCTTCATCTCAGTTACAATATAACAAAGTTTCTTTCTGGTTCTTACACTCTCAATTCAGGGAAACAAGAATACATATAAAGAGTTATTCACAACTGCTACAGTATAACAAAGTTGTTTGTAGTTCTTGTACTCAACAGTATTGAGCTTAATTTCCTTGGTCTGGACATTAAGGTATCAAGTAGGTTCATTATTTGCTCCTAGGTTCCATATAGCACTAAATGTATGACCATTTGGCTCTAATACACCTTATATATATATATATGTATATATATGTGTATATATATATATATTTGACAGTGGTACATAAATACTAAACCCTGATGTTAAAGCAATAAAGCAAAACTCCAGGAAAAAGTGATTATTTACACTCTGCACACTCTGCACTGGGTGTGTAAATTGTCATTAAAAGTTGTATGCTTTGTGTCTAAGGCTTCTGCAATTCCTAAAAATCTTACCTTGTCGGCTCTTACACATAATGCCCATCCTCCAGGCACTGCGAGGAGTGAGGGATGTGACTCAAGTAGTGAAGTGCTCCAGTCACATCTCCTCACTACTTGCCCATTCACATAATGCCTTGTAGAGGAATATGTGATTGTCTCTCTTCCTCCCATCACAGAACGCCTTGCATTCTTTGGGGAAAATACAAGGCATTTTGTGAATGGGCAAGTAGTGAGGAGGGGCTTGGTTGGGACTGAAGCACTTCACTGCTTGAGACGCATCCCTCACTCCCCGCAGTGCCTGGAAGAATGGCGTTATATGTAGGAGACGGCATGCTGCATGATTTGTATACTTTGTAGCTGCTCTTCAGGCATATCAAACAGCTTTTTAATGATGATTTACACACTCTATGCAGTGCATACAATATAATTTTGACTTTAACCCTTATTACAGTTATATTTGTCCAACACATTCCAAACCACCCAGTCAGGTGGAATCATTACATTGAATTTCCCATTCATCCAGTTGGCCATTTAACCTTCCAGAAGATGCAGTGGTGGGCCTTGCCCATAAGCGAACTCTACAACATTTTATAAGATTATATTGTGTTCCTAGTTTGGATTCTTGTATAAAAAACTGCTTTGCGCAATATACATCATTTACAAGCCTATAGTGTATTTTTATAACGGAATTTAATGGTGGCCCCCCATATACCCCAATGCAGCACAGCTTGCATCTTTTAATAACTTGTCTCTTTAGCCTGTGAATTATTATCTTTTCAAGGTACTTCTTCATTCATTAATTATTCACATGCTTGTCTACAGTATTCAGCTACCACTGCTAAAAGAATTTATTTTTATTTTTTTGTAATAAATCCATTATTTAAACATGCGAGATCTGAAATAGGCTTTCTGACGGGAGCAGTAAATAGTGAGTACATTTACATTTTCTTGCTATTAATACTTGTCATTGTTAATTATGCAAATCAATAAGAACATAAGCAATTAACTTTACATTGCAATGAAAGCATGTGTTTCTAATCAAACTGAATGACGGCTAATTCTGGCAGTTAATGAAGAAATGAACCTGATGCAGGAGCCTTATTTTCCCTGATGCCGTGGTTGTTTTTTTGTTACTATTTTTATTTTCTCTTTGCAGAAAGCCGGATGATTCTGGATGCCTTTGCCCAGCAATGTAGCCGAGTGTTAAATCTGTTGAACTGTGGGGGGAAGCTTTTGGACTCCAAGCATTCCCCAGCCCTGGTGTCTTGTGTGAAACAGGAAAATAACAGTTACAGTGAAAGGTCAGAGCAGTGCCAGCTTAGTAAAGCCTTCCACAGCCAACCATCAGACAAAGCAGATGTAGAAATGCAGTACATTCACAAAAAGCAACAGACCTCTGCATTCCTGAGGGTGTTCACTGATTCCCTTCAGAACTATCTACTGGCCAGCAGTTTCCCAGTTCGGAATATCTCTTCCTCCAGCGATTATGGTCATGTGACCGACATGGATGTTCTTTCATCGTCTCCAGTGCACACGTTGGGTGGGTGGGCATCACCAGCAACTTCTGAATCACATGGCCACCCATCATCTTCCACTCTTCCGGAAGAGGAGGAGGATGAGGAAGAGGAAGGCTACTGTCCTAGGTGCCAGGAACTGGAACAAGAGGTCATCTGTCTACAGCAGGAGAACGAGGAATTAAGGCGGAAGTTAGAAAGTATACCAGGTAATCTCATCCCGTTATTCTGATACTCTTCAGCATTATTGAAGCTCAAGCAGAATTAAGTGCACCTAAAGGCTGGATGTAAATTGTGTACATTTATGATTTGCCCTACAACATACCTGCCAAAACACCAATTTTCTTGGTGGGCAGATGGACAGATTGATAAGTAGGAAGTCTGACATCAATCTTCCATGATGCATCTTGACAACTTGTGACCAGGAAAGGTTGGGGATCCAATTCTCTGCTATTTAGTTTTTCTTTTGTACAATCTATTGCATTTTGACTATAGTGTTGGATCACCCATGGGGTTGTATATTGTTTACTTTTAGACTTTAAATTCACTTTTAAGATATTTGATTTATATAGCATTTACATATTACTCAGAGCTACACAGAGAACTTTGATCCATTCCCATTGCTTCCCCCGAGATGCCTTCAGTGTAATGTCTTATGAGAGAATTCATCATTTCTGGGACATAAAGTGATTGGCCAGGCTAATTACTGTTGTTGTATTCAACTGAGGAAACCTGGACCCCAATCGCAACCCCTACGTCCATAGGTTATACATGTACATTTTCCTGATGGCAGCATGCATGTTTGTTTAACATGAAAAATTGTTCAGGTACTGCTATGTGCCCTCACAGCCCATTGGCATCTGAAGTTTGTAGTCAACTATAGCAGTTTGTGGTAATGATTGGTTTTATTTAAAGCTGCTTATAATGTATAATAATTATGTGAATTATAAAAAAATTTTTTTTAAATATATACATATACACTGAGTGGCCAGATTATTATGACCACCTGACGTTTGTAGGCAAATTAGCTATAATTTCGCGCTGAAGTTGCTAGAGGGCCAGACCATTATAAATAGGGAAGCAGGTTGTTTACCACGACAGTAGAAGTGATTTTTTTCTGAAGATCATTCAGAAGTGTTTATATTACACTGTCTGATTTAGAGATAGGACACTCTACAAATCTATATACAAGATATATATCTGCAGTATAAGCAAGGAAAAAGGTTAAAGTAACACAAAAAATACATATACTTTCAACGAAATATACAATAATAACTCAAAATATTGATTAGCAGAACAATACACTATAATTTCCCTTTAAGGAAGTAAAGAGAGCCATTAAAATGTTTTATGTATTGATCACATGATGTCATTCTAGAATGCTACTGTCTGTATTGCTATATTTGGGCCCAGCATTTACATTTCTGAAGCTCCCTGTTGAATAATTCCCTTGATCTGATGGTATCATTATTTTCTGGTATCTATAGATTTTCATTTTTATTGCGCCCTGAGATGCAGACCAAAAACCGTACGCTGAAAAAACAGATCAGCGGAATATTGCAGATTTTATATTGTCCTCTGATAACACTGCAATGCTCTATTGATCGTCACATGCATAAAGCAGCAGAAATTTATCATGTCACCAGGGAAAAGTGGGGCACATCAACCGAGGGCTGTAATTTCAGCAAATAACAATATACAGTTGCATTTTGATGATCTACAATGTCTGATCAAGGTTGTGTTCAAAAGAAATGGCTCATTTCAGCTATCTCACAGCTATTCTGATATTTGTGCAACAAAACGGAATCTGTTTCATGAAAGTGAAAATCATATAATGCCTTAGTGTATTTCTATTTTACATGATTAATACTGTATAAAGCTTCTGTATCTGCTTGACTGCCAAATAATCCAGTGCGTTCACAATTCAGAAAAACTGCTTTAACCCACGCATGTCCAGAGGATACTGAAATCTACGTGCCTAGACCAAATTTTGCAGCCTCAGTATGTGTGGGTAACTAATTTGCCTGGCTAATTTTAGCAATTCTTTTGGGAGCGACTTAGGTAATAGACCAGATCCCTGCCAGAGACAAGGTAATATACTCACCTCTTTAGCAACCCATGACTAGTACCTTCCTCCAATTTCAGCACTGCAGCTTCCTTCAGTCTCTTTGGCATTTAAAGGAGAATTATGAAGTGAGTGATTTTTACTCAGCCTCATAATCTGAGCCGACCTGTGACAATGAAACTGTCACAGGTCGGCTCAGTTGATCGGGAAGTGAGCGAACACCTACCGGCGCTCGCTCACTTCTCGATCTATCCGTGCAGAGAGCCGTGACTGTCACTCGTGGCTCCCTGCAGGGATTCCCCCCTCCCCTGTCCGATCCTCCAGCACTGACTGGCGGAATGGACGGGGGAGGGGGCGGGTACAGCTGGCTCTGCCTCTAGATAGGCAGAGCCAGCTGTCACTCACGCAGCTGGGTGGATACAGACAGAATTGTCGGGATCCGTTCCGGCTGCGGCGTCTCAGTGCAGCTCGCGGTATACTGAGCTTTGGGTGACGGGAGGACGCTAGTTTGTGTCCTCCCGTTACCCTTAGGAGAACTGTGGGAAAGCCCTAACCCCATAGTTCTCCTTTAATACTTTAGGGCATATTTATAAACAATTTGCAGAGCCTTTTATCCTGTGAAATTGCTATTCGGGTCAATACTTTTTCCCAGTTTTTTTGGGTAAAAGTAGGTACCTCGGCTTATACTCGGGACGGCTTATACTAGAGTATATACGGTACATTTGTTTTGTGGAGAAAATGAGCATAGTCCCTTTCCAAGTTGAATGTAATATCAGGAAAATACCTCATTATGGCCACTAGATGAGCTGAGTAGTGTAGCATGTAGTGGAGCATTACAGAATGCAGTCGCCAAGTAGTGAAGAGCAAAGTTTTGAAAATTAAAGGGGAAGAATAGTTGATTTTTTAGGTTATTGGTGAAATATATATATATATCTTTTTTTTGCTTCTTGAAAATACATTACTGCCATGCAGGCATGCTCCTGTCCTGCAAATAAGTTACTTTACATATAGGGTGGGAATTACAGCTCCAGCTGTACTTCCTGGCCGATTCGTATGTAAGAGCTGCAGGTCTCATGGACACCAGTGCTATATTATTAGTGATTATATTACCTTCCCACAGAATCACCAAAAGGTAAATGAGCTTAATTGGTAATTCCGTTAGTTCTCAATACTTTTTCCTTCACTTTACAAACATGTAATATCATTTCACCAATCCCCCCTCCTCCTCATATCAAAGAGGACATGATTTCATAGGGTAATTCCTTGTATAGCATAAATCCATTTATTAAAAAATATAATAATATTACAGAAGCTGTTATAGTCATGTGTAGGAAGTGCATATAGAACTATAACAATCGCTTAAATAAACAGACTCAATCATTGAATTGAACTCACAAGTTTTGTCAAAGTGTTGACTTTATCCAAAGTCTCCTCCTATATTGGTGGTGATTCTTGAAGTGCCCCCTTTATGTTGGTTGCTAGTGGTGAACTGCCACCCCACATTGATGGTCAGTATAGTGTCCCTCTTACAATTGGGCCAGCAGTAAATGGCCCCTTACAGAACTAGGTGGTCAGTGCAGTGCACCCTTCTCTTAGTGGGAGAGGTGAAATACCACCTTACATTGGTGATCAGTGGTAACATTTCCTTTTATGTTATTGGTCAGTGGTTTAGAGCTTCTTTAAATTGGTGTTCAGTGATTAAGGCCTTGTTCACACCAAGCGTGGAGCAGGTGCAGAGCAGATCAGTTGCAGACCAGATCAAAACTGCGTCCAATGTTTCCAATGGTATTTTTTGCTCCAGTTCACAACGCAGCGTGCAGTTCCAGAGCAGGTGAAAAAACTGCAGCAGGCCCACATACATTGGTGGTCAGTGGTGAAGTGCCCCCTTACATTGGTGGTCAGTGGTGAAGTGCCCCCTTACATTGGTGGTCAGTGGTGAAGTGCCCCCTTACATTGGTGCTCAGTGGTACAGTGTCTCCTTACAATGGTGGTCAGTGGTGAGGTGCTCCCCTACATTGGAGGTCAGTGTTAAATTGTCCCCTTACATTGGTGTTTAGTGTAGTGTCCCTCTTATGCTGCTGATCATTTTTAAAGTTGCTCACTTATGTGGCTGGCCAATGGGAGCTACATAGATCAATGGTGTCAGTGTTTTAGTTCCTGATTGAGTAGATGCTCTGTTCCCCTTGCTGTTGGCTGTGGCTCTTCTAAGTGACACTGGCGCCAGAACTATGTGGCCACTGTGGGGCTGGAGGACACTTCACTTAGCAGTGCTGCAAGTCGGTTTGATGTGGCTAGACTTTGGGCACACAGCAGAAGACTCATGGCATATACTGTGTGGTAAAGTGACGCTGATGCTTAATTGGGAAAAAGTACCACCTGAACCTGTCAAATGTACACCCTGCATAACATGTATCACTGATTGAGAAATTATGGTTTAATGGATATTAACCCTTTTGGCAAATACTATCAAATGAAGATAGTTAACTGCTGGCATCAGTAGAGTCAGTACAGTGAGTCCAGTACCTACCTTTACTGACTTTTTGTCAATGAGCCATCCAAAGTGCACCTAATGTAATATGAAAAAACTGTGTTATGAAGATTTTTTTCTCCTGCACCCTGTATGGCGCATACTAGGGATGCACCGATACCTGTTCTTTGGTATCGAGTACCGATATTTTTCCCGATGCGTACCGATACCGAGTACCGATACTAGTTCTGTGTCCTCTGCCCGACTTCCTGATTGCCTGGGAAGCCGGTGTTCTATCGAAAGAACACCGGCTTTACTTGCTGAGGCTGTTAATCAGGAAGCCGGGCGTCGGGTCATGAGGTGCCGTCCGGCTTCCTAATTGGTCAGGAAGCCAGGCTGCCTAGCAACAAGTGAAGCTGGCTTCCTAGCCAATCAGGAAGCCGGGCGGCATGCTCCCTTCTTCCGGTATCGGAGGTAAACATCCGAGCATTTGGGCGAGTACGAGTACGAGTACTGGCCGGAATACTTGATAGTGCATACTGAAGTTTATGTTGTATTCATAAATACTGCAGAATGCTCATTGGCAGTGTTTAATAGAATCTCCCCAGTTATGTTCTGTGAAAGCCGTACCAATGGGAAGTCACAGTAGTGAGCACAGATCAGAGTGTCATGTACTAAGTGACTTATTAGATGGTCTCCCATCAGAATCAAACATGTTCATTGGCATACTTTTTTTATTTGATAATTTCCTTGCTTTAAAACAAAAAATAGCCCGCTCTTCCATTAGAGTTTTTCCTAAATGTTGTCCAGATGTTCTGTTCTATGTTATACCTTTTACTTATTTAATGCAGATGCCTCTTTAAATTGGAGTGTACAAGCCATGGAGAAAACTTCATATTTTCCTGATGTATAATTGCTATTAATGAATTATTAATATTGTTTGTGAGTCTCTTGGTAGCTATTCAGAAAGACTGCACTTCTCATAAACCTCCAGGAAACGTGTCAGTAGGGTCAGATTTAAGAGTGGCTTAAGTCATGTACTTCATCTCCAACCATTAGCCATCTGGAAAGCATCACATTTATAGTGCAATCATAGCATGTAAAATCAGACATTTAAGGAGAATCTGTTACATGTAAGGCATGATCACAGTGGTGTAGACAAGACATAGGGAAATTCTCTCTGTAAGCTGTTCTGCCATTAATAATAAAGAGTAATTGGAAGTGGATAAAGTGGAGAGAGTTGTTGACACTGTAGTGTTCTGTATTGAGTGCATGTATAGTCTAGTGATAAAGACACCCCTGCCAATCAGCACAGCCTGGTCCTGGACCACAGGTTTAGTTAGGCAACCCCCTTACCCCCTACCTCCTCACAAACACGCTGATTGTTCAGTGAAGGAACAACAGCAAACTGATGAGTCAAGCCTGTGCTCTGCCCTCCTGTAACCATTGTCAGTGTTAGACTGACAACACTGGGTGCTGCAGCATACGCTGATTGGCTCCTATTGTTGACCTGCCCTCTCTTATTCTGCTGTGTAGGGGAATGCAAAAGCTGTTATGAAGTAAAATATAAATAAAATATATTTAATTGTTTTTTCATGAACTTTAAAAAAAAAAAAATGTCTCTATAAATCTGCCTAAAGTTCTGCATTCATGGATGTGACATTCAAACTGTGTAATAGTTTTTACATTGTTAGCGATGGTAAAAAGCTGTTTGATGTATTTTACAGTTTGTGTATTTAGTTGTGATTCATCTGACTGCTCTGTCTCTTGCAGTGCCCTGCCAGACAGTGTTAGACTATTTAAAGACTGTACTTCAACATCACAACCAACTGATCATACCACAGCCCACAGAGCAGCCCACAGAGGTAATGTAACTCCAGGTCTGACATGCACATCAGATGTAATCAAAGAGTGTACTTGTACATATTGTATCCCAGTTACTTTTAATGTTACCTGTTCTCATGAATGCAAACAGAGATCGTCTGATGTATACAATTTTACTGAAACTGCACATGATGATTTTTTCCTTACTTAAAGTGATATTAAACCCTCAGATTTTTTAACATAAAACAATACTGTAATGTGTGCCTTACTGTAATCCATGGTTGTTTCCCTTCTCTTTGCTGCTCTTCCTTTAAAATTTGCATGTCTTCTCATGCTGGGCAGAACTTCTGTTTTGCAGCAGACTGCCTTGTCTCTGGAATGGATACATGGTGTCTGTGTGTTGGTTTGCAACCTGAGCCAGCACTACAGGAAGAGGCACTCAGCTGCAAAGGGAAGTTCTAACCAAGCATGAGAAGACACGCGGATTTAAAAGTAAGAGCAGCAAAGAGAAGGGAAACTACCATGGATTACAGTAAGGCACACATTACAGTATTGTTTTATGTTAAATAATCTGAGGGTTTAATGTCACTTTAATATAGTTCATTGGGGATTGTCGTTTTAGAATGTAACTTTCCAGGTTACAAAACGTATTGGCACCCCCAGTAAATGATGGCAGATAATGTTTATAATATCTAAAAACCCAACTTTGGAAAATGATACTGATTTATTAAAAGGTTTTCTATTTTACTTATAGATAGTCAGGGGTATATTTGCATATCATAGGGTCCCATAGCAAACTTTGGGATATCTCTACTTACCATATCTCCATTTTAAACAACCTCTCTGCAGTACACACGCATAAGGTGTATCTGAACCCGAGAACAAAAATGTTATTTATTAAACCTTACAGCCCTTAGATGTGTAAAGGTGGTGGCTGCATGTGTTTTCTTTTTTTTCCTTTTTAACAGTGAAGGCCTATCATTGCTAAAGCCCTATTTGCATTGATGGTCAATCAGTGGAAAAGCCCCCATTTTTATTGATGGTCAGTCAGTGGAAAAGCCCCCATTTATATTGATGGTCAGTCAGTGGAAAAGTCCCCATTTTTATTGATGGTCAATCAGTGGAAAAGCCCCCATTTATATTGATGGTCAGTCAGTGGAAAAGCCCCCATTTATATTGATGGTCAGTCAGTGGAAAAGCCCCCATTTATATTGATGGTCAGTCAGTGGAAAAGCCCCCATTTATATTGATGGTCAGTTAGTTAACAAACCTCTAAAACCTACAGTTGCATTGGTTGTCAGAGGACTTCAGATTGTGCTGTTGTGGTCACCTACCTTCTTAGCTTGGCAGAGCAGAGTGGCTAGAAAACACCCTGAAAGTGATGGCGCTGTTTTCTTGAGTGGTTGATGCTCTTGTGAGTCTTCTGTGTCAGCTGGATCTACCCTGGCTCAGATGGGAAGATTAATCTGAAAACAAATAGTCATCCCCTCTTTTGCCCGGTGGCAGCAATGGAAGCACCCTTAGAAAGTAGGCAAGGGTGTATTGAACATAGTAGAAGAAGGGTACGTTTTTTTAGTCATTGCAGAGGAGTTATCCCAGGACCCACATTATCCACTTGGCTACAAAGGCTACTATGGTGTTAGACAGAAGCTGTGGGTAATACGTGAATTGATTTGGCCAAACCTCACGTTCACGTGTGTAGATGATCTGCAGCAAGCAGATGTTCCACTCCTCAGATGGGTAAACCGGTTCTGATCCACTCCTCAGATGGGTAAACAGGTTCTGATCCACTCCTCAGATGGGTAAACATGTCCTTTTGACTAGTCCATTAGTGCAAATTAGCCAGGGGTCAGTCCTGCTTTATTAAGCTAAAGAAAGCACAGGGGATTGTGTGGGAGAATGGTCTTCCCCTGTGATTTAGTAAACCCAATAAGCAGGTACTAATACTATACTTACTTATTATGGCAACAACTAATAGGAAAGCGGAATACCTATTATTAGGTATAGTATATGCCTTCTCCCTTCATGCTCTGTAGAGCTCCTTATGGAGTTTCAATTAGAAGCAGCTAATATGCTCTCCCCCAAAATGATGTGCAAACCAGTATCATGGATGTAACCCTGTATTAAATGTCTATAAAAAAATGGATTTTATTTTAATAAAAAAATTATATAAATAATCAGTTAAAAAGTTGTCCTTATATTACCACTGGCCCAGCATTGAAAATAAGTAGGTGTGGTGCAGATAGCAGAAGCACAAACAATATAGCTGAGCTGAGATACGTTTACAAAACCTGTGGGTAACTGAACACTTATCTGTGGATATTGTACTATTATACTTTATCACTGATTGAAGTAGTATTAAACTCTCAAACCTTTTTCAATAATGAACCCAGATCAAACAAATATACATTGCCCAGAAAAGTATTTCTTTACATTTTTGCCCAAACACTTATAATCATCATGTCTATGAACATCTGTGTCAGGGATACCGGCACAGGTGAACCCCACACCTCCGAAGGTACCCGCACAGGCAGACCAAACATGTGTGACCACACGGACAAGGCAAGTATGTTACACGGACCAGGCAAGGATGTTAGATATGTATAGTTTGTTTAATATACACCTTAGACTAATAGCCACAACCAACAACAAGGCTCAGGACAGCAAACAAAAGACACATGAAAAGGGACTACAAACAGGGTTCAGGACTTACAGGTAACAAGGTTCAAAACCGGATTCAGGACTCACAGGTACCAAGGTTCAAAACAGGATTCAGGACTCACAGGTAACAAGGTTAAAAACCGGATTCAGGACTCACAGGTAACAAGGTTCAAAACAGGATTCAGGACTCACAGGTAACAAGGTTCAAAACAGGATTCTGTGTTCAGGACAAACAGGAAACAGGAAACAACACTGAGCCATCGTCCTGACTGCAGGGGGGGGTTTATATACCCTCCCAGGAAGCACTAGGTGATGGCTAAGTGCTGGGAGACACCCGCAGGTGAGCACTGGAACTGCAGGGCTAGCTCCAGCGCCACCTGGAGGCGCTCTGGATCCTAACAATCTGCTTCCAAGTCTCTCAGCTCAGCTACCCTGAACTTCCTGTCCAGTACTTGTCATGCACCCGACCTTGGGAGAGGTACGGTGGATCTCAGCTGCGGTTCTAACTTGTTGTGTTAAGCGGTTGTCAGGCTATAATCCCAGGCGGCTCTCTCAATCACAAACGGAGAGTTTGGGATTTAGACATCATGGACCACTAAATAATAATCAAAAACAGAAGGCGAAGTTGCACAAGGAATATTAAGCCATATTCCTTATTAGCTAATCACATCAGGGAATTGTAATATAAATATATAAGGCAGTCTCTAGTTCAAACAGCAGGGCAATTCACTGAAACAGCATAGGTATATGTGTATTGGTGTAGTATGAGTTGATACTGAGAAGGCTCCACTAGGTGGCAGAGTATAGGATCCAACACAAGTGAACAACAGTCCATAAGCAGATACATGCGGTTTGGTTGATGAACCAGTGGCTCAAATGAGTTTAAACTCCAGGGGAGGCTGGCTGCTGGGGGAAGATTTGGGATCCTGTTTGGCGTGGTTCCAAGGGACGTGGAGAGGTTCCTGGGGTGTTTGGGCAACGATCCCAAAAATCAAACACCCTACAGCGTTCCCGGCAGGTTTAAATAGCCCGAGGGCGTGACGTCACGTGGCCGCGGCGTGCTTCCGAGTTCCAGCGTGGAACGCACAGTAGCTTCCGTCATGGGGGAGGAGGCCTGCATCAGTCTCCCCGGCCGATGCGTTCCAGCCTGGAACGCAGCCGGTGAGTGCCGCGAACCCGAGGGACATCACAGTACTAGATCACAAAGAATTGTGCAGACTCCAGCAACTGTTCATCTACTAGCTTGGAGAGAGGAGGGGGGGAGGGGAGTAGCTTGCTTTGCTGTGTCTGTGTGTGGAGACACACACAACTTACTACCACACACAACGGTGACTGCATAGCATTCTGCTTGAGAAAGGAGTCGCTCTAAAACATGAAGTCAGGATCAGTGCTCAGGGGTTCCTCCAAAAGGTCCACAATCCACAGTGGGCAAGTAAATGTCCATTTTTAGTAAAGTGAAGAAGGGTGACAACCAGGGCCGGATTTACTCTCTCTGTTGCCCCAAGGCCAGGTTCCTCAATGTGCCCCCCTACCCACCAACCCCTCCATGGAGAATGGCACATCTGCAGGCTGCATACAAGTGATCTGGGCTCACTTGTAGAAAACACAAGTGGCGGCTTCCTCGCTGGGCTTAGCAGGGCTAAATGTAGAAAACAACTACATTGGCCTTGCGGGAAATCCAGCCCTGGTCACCAGCAGAAAACCTGCCCTGAGAAATGATGGGGGTGAGTGCAGGTAGACAGAAAGTGGCTGACAGAGGCTGGAAGAGATTAGCAGCACTGAGATACATATAAAAATGGGATCAGAAAGAAAAAAAAACAAGCAATAATCCATTAAAAAAAGCCAATTGAAAATGTTGAAGATACTCTAGCAATAGCAATTTACTGTAAATGCCATCCACTTAAGGTTAGGGTCTAATTTAAATATCTTTTTATGGTAGGCTGACCCCTTAATGCTGATTAATAATTAACCTTTCTAAGTCTAACTACAAAAAAAATTGGTATGATTTTGATGGTGACAATAACTCCGTGTGAATGAGTCAAAGGCTCAAAATTCATCTATCAAGGTTTCCTTTTTTAACTTGCTAATCTCTGTTTAATTTATACAAGAAATGCTCTACTTTTGTGTCTCTCTGCATTGTGTTCAGAAAACATTATGATAATAATATTATTTGTGCACTGTGATAACAGGCATACACATAAGATAGCTCTTTCTCTGCAATTCCCAGATGTGTCGTGATGTGACGTGAAGTAGAGGGCACTCTAGCCTTCTGCAAAGTATCCAACTCTCACGTCACTTTGATGGCAGGTGTCTTGATATGTTAATTGAAGGTCTGATCATGTCTTTTGCATTGCTTTTATGGCTAACCACATTTTTTCAC